AGGGAATGAATACCAGAGGTACAACTTAGTTGGTTCTTTACTCTCACGGTTTATGATCATGTTACTGATTTATACCCCAATATTAAATTACTGTACAGTCAGTGTTTTTACTCTGGACTAGTCAGATTGACTGTGATAGTTTTCAAGTGCTATCCATATGTTCTTACATTTGTATATCAGTCTTATGCTAAAAATAGTTTTGCTCTGTATAATAAAAAGCCAATATTTTGTTATTTTGCATTTCTCAGGATTAGAAGTGTAATTATTCTGAATGTTTTGCATCTGATAAACTGCGTGATCGATAGTCAAACTTTCCATCAGTGAATTATTCATTTTCTGAATTTTATAACTATTTTTAATAATTAGTGTAAGGACTCCTTAAGCACCATCTCCTGTCCCAACTGCTTACAATATGCACAACAATTTGTATTTATTTACAGAGTTCACTGGGAGCCTGAACAGTGGAGGCTGGAGGGGGCTTTAATGCAATCAATTCCAAATGTTTTACTTTTTTAAATCTGCAGAATATTCCTACTCCAATGACGGTGTAGATATTTATTGCTATTAAGCAGTTTTTTTATTCCTTGATAGTGTCAGAGTTCTAGTAGAGATTATATGGGAAATAAAGGCTTCTGCTTTTATTTTTAAAAATGGGTAGATTTGAAAACTCTTTGGTTATGTTCATCAGAACCAAATTAAAAATACTATATGTGAGTTATTGTCAAGTGAATTTCCCTTTGTTACAAGCAGGATGAGAACTGTGTCATGAAGTGATTGACATATAAATCACTGTTTACGATAACTGATCAAGAAGAAATCACTCTTAAGTAATCCTCTGAAGTACGGTAATCTATTATCAGTGAAGTAGACAAAGTAGTCTTCAGATTCGCCAGAGGATCAACTACACATCAATACTATAACTCTCCACAAGAATTGATGCAATGCTACTGATGGGATAGATTCATTTAAAAGGGTAAAAGAGTCCTTAAGACAAGACGAGGACCAAAGACATGTTGGGCAACAGAATATCGGAATCGAGCCAGCCCTCTGTGGCGGTCTCGGTAGTCCGGTTACTGAATCAGGCGCGTCCACATTACTCTAGGACACTGCTGATGACAAGCACAACCAGCCTGGCTCATCAGCAGGACTTGGAATGGCAGATCAGTCATTGGGGGCAGGGAGTCATCCGCCACTCAGCTCCTATTAACCCTGTAAGCCAAAGTCCTAACAGGTAGAGTGGTCCTATCCGTACAAGCAATGGGACAGCTTGCCAAATATTGGCAAGCTAAGTGGTTTTAGCTGGTTAGACTCCAGCAGTACCTCAATGCACACCAAGCCTTTGCTCTTGCCAATCTGCGCCTAATGCTTTCCTGAAATGGGTAAGCAGGAAGCATCCCTCCAGGGAGAGAATGTACATTTCATTCCAACAATCTCTCTCTGTAATTTCCATGCGTAGGTGGAACGCATTGAATTCTCAGTTTGGTTTGGATACTCTTAAGCATGGTGATGGGTTTCTGCAAGCGTCAGACACCCAGATGAACAAAAAAATAAACAAATAAATAAGACAAGGACTTTTATGCTTATTTGGGCTTCCTGTCATGGAACGTTAGATTGTGCAGAGAAAACCATAACTGAAACCTGATGATATTAATAAAAGCTGATGGAAATACTGCTTTGCAGACATTCTCAAAACTAGATGCAATTTCTGACTGTGTACAAAACTTTTATAATATTTAAAATTGCTACTTCTATCCACTTGATTTCATACAAAATTACATAAGTGGGGTTTCAAAACAACATTTCAGCAGCTAAGGCTAAAATAGATACTAATTATTGTACATAAGAGGATAAAATACAAACATCCAGTGACACTAACCACAGGAAATAAAGTTCAACAAGCTGGTCTTGGGCCAACCTTTACGGAATTATGTATCATTCCTAAGATAATGATTACATAATAACTATTATATTCAGATCATAATTTGTCAAATTCAAAGCTGCTGCTTTTTTAAATGCATAATAACCTAACATTGCCTTAAATTTCAGTTAGAAACCATAGGTGAAATACCATAGCTGTACCATATAATTTCATATTGAAAGACTAGAATAAGCTTCTAGCCTTACTGAATAACAGGAATAGGATGGCACGTAAAGGCTGCTCCTTCATTAAGTCTATAGCAACTCTATTTCCATTCAGCCAACCTTCTCCACATCGGTAATATCCTTACTTACCAAGTATCAATTTACCTCTAAAGGATATCTCAATCAACCATCTATGGAATTCTGAGGAAGGCCATTAATTTATACAGCTTAGGAATAGCTTTGGTCCCAATTAATGGTCACCATTAAAAATCACCATTTTTCAGATGTCTTGAGATTCCTCATTGTTATAGATTAAAAAATGCAAAAGATGAAAAGGGTGTACAATAGTGCCACTGGTTGAAGTATAAGTGGCAATGATAAATATGGATAATTACTCAAAATAACTTAGCTCAGATTAGTTTATTAGAACATCGGCATTGCTCACTTGGTAGTTTGCCCTGATCGACTTCTGAACAAAAAATCAGTGTCAAGTTAAATCTATTATTTAGGCTCATCTGCATCACAAAGAACAAAACGTAAATCAGTCGGGACCTATAGTCCACCTGAGTTTGTACTATGGACACAATAAGGGGCAGCAGAAGTGGACAAATAGAATTAATTTGGTGTTGGGTATATAAAAATTTGGATTTTATGGAACACCAAACAACGTATGTGACATATACAACACTTTAGGTAAACTCTGTATTTGAGTAAATGATTAGAATTTCATTCCCCTTCATATTTAAAACTATAAAAAGTTTAGCACATTGACCCTACACTCTTGCTAGCTATTCCATTATAACTATATACCTCAATTCCAAATCCCTGCTCTATTCCTGTACCCTGCTATACTGTGTCTTCAATTACTTATCCAATTCCATTTTAAATCTAATTACAATCTTAGCTACAGTGGCTAATTGTTACAAAGCAATTTGTATTCTAATAGAATTTGACGATTTATATGGACAAAGTCATGGTTCACTCCTAATAAAATATTCTCTCTGTGGTCTCCTGAATTATTTACATAAATATGAAGTTAGGACAAGAGGTGAAAGGAGGATATAGCATTAACTCACCTGTTCCTGAATCCAAGGGAGGGTTAGGGAAGAAGAGAAAGTGATTAGCAGGGACTTGTGAGAATAAATACACTTTATATATGGTTTACACAAAACACAGATATAAAAACATAATGCAGACATACTTGTATGGAGTGTATTCATTTGATAACATAAAACAAACATCAACAGTATGTGAATGCACAAAATACCAAAACAGTGTGAGGCAGCATCAATAAGGCAAACAAGACTCTGAACTATATTGCCAGTTGAGTTCAGATGCCTAAAAGCAAAGCTCCATCTGTATGATGCTTTGGTCAGTCTGCAGCTGGAGTACTGTGTACATTTTGATCACCATCACATAAAGGGTCTGGCCAGGTACTAGAGGTAGGGCAGAGGAGAGCAACAAGGATGATTCCCATTGATAAATGGAATGAGGAACAACTTGTCTCCCAGGGGATGAAAAGAGTAGTTTCAGAGGGGCCCTTATAGATCTACCTCTATGACTGTGCTTTCGGCTTTAACCCCCTCCCCCCACACACACCCCTCAATTTCAGGCTCCCACTCCATCTCTGTAAAGTGCTACGAGACATTTTCCCAAAATGAAACACACTATATATTATTCAACTGTAAACTCTTATATAAATTGCTGAATGGGATTATGAAGCAAATCCCAAATAATACTTCCAGATACATCAATGCATTAGCGAACAATCCCACAAAGCACCAGCAGATTTTGGAAGTTACGCTATAATAAAAACTCAATTTGCACACAGTTACCCAATAAATAAGCGATAGCAGTTTTCAAAATGAACTGTGATAGAGGAGTCTATCATACACTCACCAGTAAGAATAGAGATTATTGTTTCATTATAGGAATGCAACTAAAAGACGACTATTTTTAGCAATGTATGTTGGACCTCTGGGTTTCAGAAATGCAGAATATTTGGGCTCAGTGTCCCCAGACGAAAGAGGGGAAGCAGGATGCCTATTTCTGACTGCTACCTAGGGCTTCCACCGACTTGAAATTGTGCATGTGTGGTATAGGTTAAGGATAAGATCTGTCTAGGCTTTGATAACACCACTATAATGCAATGTCAGCAACACTCACTGTCTAGGCTCACTCATAAAAATGACTATTGAAATGAGCTACTGGAGGGTTGCTACTACCTGTGAAACTGTACGCCACAATGAGTCACTCTCTTAAGCTGAAAGGAGAAACACATTTCCTACATTTTTTTAACAACAGATTTCCTGCACTTCAAAATGTTATATTGTGAGAATGTCAAACTAATGGGATGTTTTATAAATATTGTAATACACTTTCCTTAGAGGTTCCAACAGTATAAAAACATACACATTCATATTTTGTTTCTTTTTAACAATTCAAGTTAATACCATGTCTAAGGTAACTGCAAAAAATATTTTTCATTTCCCCCAGTGGCTAAACACCAGACAATGTAGCACTCAGCTCTGCAAAGCAAAGGGTTGCAAGTTGGAATCCTGGTCTGTGCTGAGTTAGGTGATCTCACTCAGAACAGCAGTTTGGGCACTAACCTGACCTTTATGTCTCTGTCCCAGGGAGAAGAAATCTCAGCTATGGTTTCCACTGCTGATTGCTATCTAGTTACCTCTGCTGGAAAGTTCGCGTGTGAATCTCATTCTTGCCTGTGAAGCCCAACGTGGTCAAATTATCTGCCAACATTCAATGTTTGGGCTCACATTTGAAGAATGATCAATTGGGTGAGGTATTGGAAAGCATTCAGTGCTCATGGATATGTACCTTATTGAGTCACTGGCTTCAGGAGGAGGGGAGAAGACAAAACAAGTTTGTGGCATTATGGCTAACAGAATATCACTCACCTCGAAGCTGCTATTTCCACTTTTGTTTTAGCGATTGCTGCAGCTCGATGCGCTCCTTCTATGGCTCTCTCCACTTTTTCTTTAATTTTGCTGGTTCTTAGGGGTATAAGGTGCTTTTTCTTTCCTCGTACTAAAATGTTATTTTTATATTTTCCTTCTTCCTTTGTGCCATCTGGAAAGGTCGTACATCCGTATCCGTTCCTTTGATTATTCAACCATTCTCCCTCGAACTTCATACCATTCGAGCGCTCACTTACACCAAAACCACTGCGTTTATCATTTTTCCATTCCCCCATGTATGACTCAGTTGTGGTGGCATCAACATGGTCTTCAACTGGACAATATTCAGAATCACCTTCTCCAAAACTGATTGTTGAATTGGCATCACTATTTGCTGAACTTATTCTGCTCATCGATGCTTCACTCCGAACCGAGCTGCGTTTGCTGGCTAAAGATGATTTAGACTCAGACTTTCTAAGCTTCAGGTTTCCCAAGAGTGATCCTCTTCGAAAAAAACCCTTTTTCTTGCCAGTCATTAATTCTGTGTCACTGTGAAATGTGAGGACAAATCCACCCCTTGTACCAGCTGGACTATCTGCAGATATATCGTGTAGAATAGTGCCATTGCTTTGCTCACTGCGGAGTGAAGACAGGGAGGTGCGGAGTGGTGAGCGGATGACAGTGGCCATTCCATACGGCACACTCTGGCGTACACCATAACCATGACGCATTCCTCCAGCCCACTGTCCCTGGTAGGTTCCTTCAGAACATGGATTAAAAAGAATTAAAATGTGCACACAACAATTCTCAAGTTTTAAATACCCAAATGTAATGGCGATTAGACACGGTTTTGGGCAGTACAGCTCTCATTGTTCCTTCAAAAGATTCACAGCAAATATTTCCAATTCTGCAGTCGGAATATTTTTCCAAACAAATCAAACTCAATCTGAAATTTCACACTAACCTACATATATTAATTTTAAATTTTTAATATTTGTGTGAATGTCAGTTATATGAAGGGCAGCTAATGATGGTAAACTGCTTGAACAAATCATGCTTCTTTACAAACTAAAGATTGATTTTACTGTGAATATTAAACACCAGAAAAATGAGAACGTATAAAATAGGTCACTTCATTATTCTCTAAATCTAAAAAAGGAGACTTTAAATTTCATAGTATTTTTGTTTTCAGAACAATGCAACACATAATTAACTTAAGCTACCGAACAGTTGTCCCAAATCCATACTTGTTGAAATGTCACTGCCAGAATTGTACACAAATGCAGATATTAACATCGCACAAGATAACGTTCTGCTTCACTGAATGGGGGAACAAAAAAAAACAGTGGAACATGCTTGTGCAAGAGGTGGCAAACAATGTAATAAACTGCTGTCGAAATTGGAGATCATTGCTATTGTGAACTTAAGGTCTCGGCCCTGAGCAGGTTTGGAAAGCATCTGAGAAAGTCTCTAGAACACTATTTTGCTTTACACACACATGTATGTTGTCAGTCAAACTTCACATTTAAATTCACCTCTTGGTTACACTTTACCCTATAAGTAACAGTGCTGCCAAGAAGCATTTGACTCAGAAAAGAAATCAGAGGGGCTGTATCATCAGACAGAGAACCGAATAATTAAACATTTTCTTCCACTGTTTGGGGACAACAACAACTTGCATTTACACAGAACCCTTTATGTTGTAGAATAACATCTCGGCGTCCTTTACAATGATCGGGTCAATGCTAAGCAAGTTGGGTGGAATAGGAGAGGAGCAGGCAGAATCTATATTAGCTCCCAATAGGGAACTAGATAAATATCTATAATAATAACAATAAAGTACAAGAGATTATAATAATATAATCTAAAACAAGAGTAAAACTACAGTGGTATGGGGAAAGAGTAAGCAAATGGAACGGAAAGAGTCAGCATAGGCACAATGGGCCGAATAGCTTACTTCTGTGCCATAAATTTCTATGGATCTATGGTTCTATAACATTGGAATAGAGGATAAAACCTTTTTATGGCTAAAAATGACTTAGGCTTTCACAAATCCTGCTCAGAGCTTTGACGACTATATGAAAGTATCAGAATTGTGTAAAAAGTTTATTTGAACCCCTGATTAGAGACCTGAATCTTGATAGAGCCCTTCTGCACACTTTATTAATTAAACTCAGCCAAAATAAGTTCAACTAAAACATTAGATTTGAACAGAAATGGAGAAATCACAAAGGATTTCCTCTACTTAAATATTTAACTTCTTTGTAATCTAAGATGTAAAACTTTAATACTTTAGTTTTCATTGAACCTTTCGAAAATGTTTGTCTATTCAGGAAGGACACTGAATTGTTTTGGACTTAAAGACACTGAATAAGCACAGTATAACACATAATCTTTGTAGTATTATAATTAACTTTCAGTTGCATTTTAGCTAAAATAGTGGGTGTGATTTGAGAATATTAAGTACGCAACTATATCTGTTAATTTGTTGTATAAATTTGTGGAATATTAATTTGAGTCGACTACATCTTAGGTAAGAACGTGACCATCAATACTACCCTCAGTTATATTCTAAGAGCATCCAGCACTAGACTACAAACACTCTGCAAAACACTACTTAGAAGGAACAGCACCTTTTAAACTTACAGCACCTTAAAAGCAGCACCTTTTAAAATGTATTGCTTATAAATATTGGCACTTGACTGTGAAGAACACAATGTTCAAGACTACATTAGCCTTCACTATAACATTTCAGCCAACCACAATTTGGAGGCCCAACTCAATGGCAATCACAATATTCATTAAAAAAAATCTATTATTAGCTAGCTGTCAAGTGGTTCCGTTTTTTTTAGAAACACTTCTATTCATAACACTAATCCTCGCATTTGATATAACGCCTTATCATATCTTTGAAATGTCTTATTTTTACAAAATCCTGCTTTCCAAATTCTGAATGTTCCAAAATGCTACATAAATAGAGTAAATCTTAGACCCAGTTGGGATTTCTCTTCATTAGTATTCTAATTGTATTTGATTGAGTCCTTTCAATATCTTTCTGCATCAGAATCAAAAAATATGAAAATCATTGGTTTATTGAAAGATGACTGTATGGTGAAGAATGTTGCTATAACTTGGTAGGTTCCTACAATCTACTTCATAACATAAATGTTAAAAAATGAGTGACTTGTTTCCTGGATGTTAAAAGTGTACATGTGGATTTTGACAGCGAAAAAGCCTTTCAGCATTTGAAGCAATTAATCATGTGGTTATGTGGTCATGTGCAAGCTGAAGGAAGTGACATTTGGGGAATACAAGTAGATAAAACCATCAGAATGGTGTGTTGTCCCACTAAGAAAATGAACTGAATCATGAGAATACATAGCCAATATACAGCTAAAAAGATGGAGAATAAGTAAGTAAGTAAGTAAGCGATATTGAATTTGTAAAGGGAACTAGTCTGAGCCCTAGAGTACTACTTACAATTTAGGTAACTGTATTATATAGTAGAGAAATCTTTGTATTGGAGGAGGTAAAGCAAAGGGCAACTAGTCTGGATCTAGAATCAGGCACTTTAAATTATAGGGTACAATCTGGTCTCCAGTGTGGATGATGCAATCAAAGCTATTTTAATTCAGTGGTTCTACACTTCATGAAACAGCCCATTGGATCTGCTAAATCTACAGTACTATAGTCATATTTAAGATTAAAATAATTATTTCAGAAATGTAAGAAAATGTATGCTGTTTGATGAAATCTGGGGAGAAAATACATTTGCAAGAAAAATCCCTACACTATTTTTTTTAAAAAGGAGCAATCTTTAAAATAAATCTTCAAGATAATTTAAAAACATTACAATTTTAATGTTAATTATCTCAACACTTGAGCAATGAGGAGTGATTACACACTAGGGGAATGTGGATGATGGAGAAGATTGGAATGTCTCTTAACTGAAATATTTGGGGGCTCTAAACAGTATGGAATGCCTTACTTAATATGTTGAACAAATTCATAGGAAGGAATCAGAGTTCCACACTCTACAAGTACTAATGGAATGGACTGTTTATATTTAACTATTTTACTTAGCAAATATATAGAATAGTTTACTCAGGAAGGTGGAAAGAGGCAAATGGATGATGTTTCGACATTGAAAGCCTTTGGATGGTATGTGATAGATCGAGAAATAATTTTTGAAAACACAACTCGCCAGACAGACCATAAAACATAAAACTTTAGTGGGATTCTCAGATGCTTTGAAAAAAAACTCCATTAGAATTCTGGAAAATGCAAAACTGAAAACATTACAATTTTAATGTTAATTATCTCAACACTTGAGCAATGAGGAGTGATTACACACTAGGGGAATGTGGATGATGGAGAAGAATCAGATATTCTCTTAATGTAGTGTGGAGCATACTTTATTTTCAGGAGCTTGGATCCTCCATAGATCCAGACAGAAAAATATTGTTCTGTTTTAACAAAGGATAAACCAGTTAATTCTGCCTCAGTTAAAATATGAGCAGAACACTGAAATCGCACACCTATGAGAGGTGCCTGCTCTGGTACCTCAGAGAATAAATGTATTCCATTTAATAAAACAAGTACTGTATTGAAGAAACAGTGTCTTTCCATCAGCTTTCCTAAGCCAGATGTTATATAAGAGTTTAAGCTACACAGTAAACTTATATGGACGTTCAAATGTGTACTTTAGGTTACATATAGATATGTATTACATAGAATGATACAGCATGGAAACAGACTAATTGTCCTAACTGGTCTGTGTCAAATCAAACAGTGATAAATTGGTAAAATTTGGTTATCATTTAAATAATCGAACACTAAAAAGTTTGATGTGTTAAATAAAGTAAATTGGAACAGTTTTAATTTTAAAATGAATGGCTTTAGTGGATTTCACTGGAACACCATGATTACAAGCTGTTAACCTTTATCATAGAATCATAGAATTATACAGAACAGAGGGAGACCATTCGGCTCATTGTGTCTGTGCCGGCTCTTTGAAAAGAGCTATCCAAATCAATCCCACTCCCCCGCTCTCTCCCTATACCTCTGCAAACTTGTCCTCCCCAACTAATTATCTAGTTCTCTCTTACAAGTTGTTATCAAATCGGCCTCCACCACCCTTTCAGGCAATGCATTCCAGATCCGATCAACTCGCTGTGTGAAAACTCGCTTTAGCAGCTGATTACATGTTTGCAGAACAATATTACAGCACTTTATAAGCTCTGGAAATAATATAGAGAGGACTGTGGAACTTCTCTCTCAAGTACACAACATTTTCAATATTGTTTGTGTTATTAAGTATTTGGATTTGACCATATTAATTACAATGTTATAAGTACATGATTGCTTAATTAATTCTGCTTTGATGCAAGATAGAATTTGTCTTCGGTTTTTCTAACTGGGTTTAAATGTCACACGCAGTACTCTGTACCCAAGTTAGGTATTTTGGGTTAATGATGGCATTGGTTGATAATGTAATGTAGAAAACTATTTTTAAGTTAGTGATCAGATTACCCTCCACTACCTCAATATACTCTATTCCTTTCCTACTGCAGGCTGATCACAAACTGTTGATTTGGGTATAGGCAGCATGATAAAAGAAAGCAGAAATAGATTTCAGTGTTCTGTCGGGTCACTATAATATGGTAACATTCCTAAAATTCGATGAATTCAACATTTATCAGACTTGTGAAATGAAATATAAAAGATTTTAGGGGGGGAACAACATATGGAGCTCTTATTTCTCTTCCTATTTTATCACCAAATACTTGTGAATCTTACCGCACCCAGATATGTGGTGCCATGATTAAAAAAACATTCACTTAGCTTTATTTTCTTCCCTCTTCGAGGCATTCAGTATAATTTCATGGGAAGCAGCAGGCCTCCAGCATGTTTCTCAAGCTGCCATTCCTCTTGTAAAAATCTGAACAATGAGTTTATTAGGATGTTGTTGTGGAGGGGGGTGGAGAGGGGTCAATATATGGATAATCCATGCCTTCCACTAAGGGCCACTGGATAATAATTGAGACCAAGAAATCTGCCATTGCCCCTCACTTTCCTTAGCTCAGGAATCACTCTTTCGCCACACCGTCTATCCACTCACCCACTGTCCCATTTGTGATGACTATGTACAAAGGGATTGAACCTGGGAATCACATAATCTGTATAACCAAGTACTAAAGTCAGTAATCAGGTTTTTTTTACCTTCAAAATAAGTAAATCTAAATTGAACCTCCTTTACTTTTTGGTATTATTTTCTAGCATCAAGAAGTTTCTTCATATGCATTTTCTACTTTTGCTTAAGTGTAATCCAACTGATACATGTTATACTGCATTCACAGGCATGAGTTTTCACAATGTATTGATTCTTATGCTTCCTCATCTCTATAAAAATCGCCTTCCAAATTGAAATATTGGGGATGCAATATTTCAATAAATTAGAAATTCAATGGGAGAAAGTTGCTTCTGACACTGGGGCCAATTTCTCTATAAACTGGGCACTCAACATTTTCCCCTAAAATTATTACTAAATCTAAGGGAATACAATTGACTTCCTTCCAATCTTCCATTGCAAGTGTGCAGAGAAATTCAGTATTCAGCACTGTGTTCCAAAATCATTACAACAAAATAACGCTTGAGTAATTCATACATAAATTATTGAAACAAACTACAACTTGCAGTGACTGCAGGAGAAACCAATACGACAAGTGCCTTCAGCCACTTCGGCCCAAAACTCTGGAACTCTCTCCCTCAATCCCTCCGCCTTGTCCACTCCCTCACCACCTTCAAACCCCACCTCAAGATCTTCCTTTTTGATCGCGCTTACGATCACCACTCCCTTTCCCCCTGGCTCGGTGTCAGACTCCACCACTGTGAAGCGCTCCGGGACCCTAACCCGCATGAAGGGTGATATATAAATGTAAGTTGCTGCTGTTGTCTGCGCTAATCAGAAGTACAATAGTTGAATGTGGTGGTGGTGGGTGGAACCCAAGGACCCATTTCATCTTTGATAGGATTTGAATAATTTTGCAAAGGAAAGTTGTTGAAAGCCATTACCAAATTAAATGTGTAATGTATTTAAAATGTGCACACCTAGTCTTTATGCTTAAATTAACATTTCCATTCTCTGGAAGGAATTGTAGCCACTCATATGTATGCATGTGTGAACATAACATAAATGAACCAGCCAGAGTACTTTAATACGATTGATGTATTAATGTGGCTCTTTAATTTTTTAAAATTATTCCAAATAGTCGTATACACATTCTAAAATGTGCAGAACTTATCTGGGATCCCTTATAGCATATGATTATTGACCACTGAAAGCCACCCTCCTTCCACGTATTCAGCTGCTGTTTAGGCTGATTTAGGTGGATCTGGACATCTGTTATTGCATTTTTCTTCCTCTCCTCGCTTGCCACGTGTATTATATTTTCTAAATAAGCGATCATAATTCCGGAAACGTACATCATAGTTTTGCATTTCACCAGTTTACTGGCATTGAGTTTTGAACAGCTAATTGTCACTAACTTCCTTCTGCGTTAATATCATTTAAAGAAAACAAAACCTATGCAGGTTATTCTGCCTCCCACACACACACACTGCCTTCATCTGGATATTAATTGCATTTAAAGCTAAGATAAAATCTCTCATTTCATTTGTCTGCAACTAGCTGTTGGCCTGACTCGCGACATGTGGAATTAAGAGTAAGGCAGTACCCACCCCAATCCCAAACAACGTAATGCAATCTGCAAAAAACAAATCCTATCAGAGATAAGAATATTCCTTTTCCTGTATACGTCCTGAGCATCTGATCACAGGTTAAACAATTAAAGTTAATTCAGCTGCTTGCTTGCACCATTCCCTAAATCGAAGTTAGGGATTGCTCTCAGTCTCTGTCTGTGTGTGTGTCTGTGTGTGTGTCTGTCTGTCTGTCTGTCTGTGTCTCCTGATAGTGATTCAGTAACACTGCACAACTTTTTTTTGCAAAATGTGACCCCCCCCACCCTCTCGCTTTGCTGTTTCTGAAATGCAGATCATATATAGCAGTGGCCTCTGCCTGAGACTGTGTGTCTTACGTTCAAGTGATTCTACACGTCAGTGACAATCTGTTGTGAACACATCATCCACACGACACACAGCAAAGCAGAAGGGAGGAGGGGGGGGGGAGAGGTGTGTGGGGGGGGGGGGGGGAGAGGTGTGGTGTGGGGGGAGAGGTGTGTGGGGGGGGGGCTCAGGGAAAACACTTCAAACTGATCATTCAAATTGATTCGCTTTCTTTTTGGGGGGTGGGGGGGGTTGAGCAGTGAGAACTGCACTCGTCTGTCTCTCCTTTTATTGTGGGGTTGGTTGGTGGTGGTGGTGGTGTTATTTTATGTTAAGCAAACGATCCAACCCCCCAATATATCTTTTTTTTTGACAATCCCAAATTAAAACCATACAAAAGTTATTTTTTTTGGAGGGGGAGGGGTGGGGGGGGGGGGGGGACTATATTTAGGGGTAAAAAAAATAATGTTTTAATCAACCACCGTCTTACAGAGATACAACGCAATTTATTTGCAGACCCGAAGGGGTAGAGTTGTCCCATCTCCCATTGTTGAGCTCTGTGAGGGACGTTCAGACTACACCAAACGTATATTTATTTTTTAAAAAAACAAAGAAATATATATATATATATATATATAAATTAAAAAAAATAAACCAACGGGTTAATATCAGACACCGTCGCGCAGGGCGATCCAATCCTTTTGAGACCCGGGTAAAAGTTGTGCCATCCCCCGGTCAACTGAACTGTGGTGGGTGTGAGAGCAGAACTGGTGAGGTTTGTGGTGTGACACAGACACACAGACACACACACACACACACACACACAGAGACAGCACAGCACAGGCGGCTCCATCTCTGTGTCTCTGTGTCTCTGTGTCTCTCTCCCTCTCCGGGGGGTTCAGTAACTCACCGCCATCTCCGTAGGTCTCCACTCCGTACCCGTCCTGCAGCCCATTGCTCCAGGTGCCCTCGTACCTGGCCGGGCTGGTGAGGCTCTGGCGGAGTCCGTACCTCCCCTTGAAGCCGTGTGTCCACTCTCCCCGGTAGCACCAGCGCCCCTTGGTCTCTATCCCCAGTCCGTGGCGCTTGCCCTGGGTCCAGTAGCCCTGGTAGGTGTTGCCGCTGGGCCAGGTGTAAACTCCCACCACCTCGAAACCGTGCGCCCAGGAGCCGCTGTACTCGCCCTGGCCCTTCGGCCCCGTGCAGATGCCGTGACCGTGGGCTTTGCCGTCCTCCCACCCGCCGCAGTAAGTCCCTCCATCGTCGAAATCAAACCTTCCTCCAGTCATGCATGAAACGGTGCGGGCGGATCACGCACACACTGAAATCAATCGTAACGTCGGGGTGGCGGGCGGGCGGGCGGGTGGGTGTGTTTTGTTGCTGCTGCTGTTGTGTGTGTGTGTGTGTGTGCGTGTGTGCAAAAAAAAAAGTGGGCAAAGAGTGTGTGAGTGAGTGTGAGTGTGAGTGTGCGCTGGGCTGAGCCTCAGCAGAAAGCAGGTGGGCGATGGCGGGTTGGGTTGGGTTTGGAGCAGCCGCCCAGGTTGTGTGAGCACAGACTGGAGAGACTGACTGGCCGGGGAGGCGGGCACAGCGACTGCAGGGACTGACTGGCCGGGGAGGCGGGCACACACCGCCACACACACACACACACACACACAGGGACCGCAGAGAGCTGCCGACGGGGGGGGGGCACAGTGCGTGGGGAAGGGGGTGGGCACAGTGCGTGGGGAAGGGGGTCGGCACAGTGCGTGGGGAATGGGGGGTGGGCACAGTGCGTGGGGAATGGGGGGTGGGCACAGTGCGTGGGGAATGGGGGGTGGGCACAGTGCGTGGGGAGGGGGTTGGTACAGTGCGTGGGGAGGGGGTGGGCACAGTGAGTGGGGAGGGGGGTGGACGCAGTGACTGAGGAGAGGAGTGGTTGTGTGGGTACAGTGGGCTTGGAGGGATGTGGGCAGAGTGAGAGGGGTGGGCACTGCGAGTGGGGAGGGGGTGGGCACAGCGAGTGGCGTGTGCACAGTGAGTGGGGAGCGGGTGGTCACAGTGAGTAGGGAGGGGAGTGGGTGCAGTGGGTGGGAGGGGAGTGGGTACAGTGAATGGGGAGGGGAGTGGGTACAGTGAGGGGAGAGTTGAGTGGGCACAGTGGGAGGGGGTGAAGTGGGCACAGTGGGAGGGGGTGGAGTGGGCACAGTGAGAGGAAGGAGTGGGCACAGTGAGTGGGGAGGTGAATGAGCACAGTAAGTGGGGAGGGGAGTGGGCACAGTGAGCGGGGGTGGAGGGGTGGAGGGGTGGGAGTGGGCACAGTGAGCGGGGGTGGAGGGGTGGGAGTGGGCACAGTGAGCGGGGAGGGTGTGGGAATTGGGCAATGGATAGGGGCAGTGAGAGAAGAGAGGAGTGAAGAGATGGGAGATGTTAACGAGGGAAGCGATGCGTGGGGAGTGGGCAGCGAGGGAAGAGATGGGGGAAATGGGCAAAAGTCACTGGGGGGCAGAGAGTGGGCACAGTGGCCGAAGAGGTGCAGGAGAATGGGGCAGTGACCGGAGAGAAACGTGGGGAAGGGGCTCAGTCAGTGGCGCAAGGAAATGGGCACAGCGTGAAGAGATGCGGGAGAAGGTGGTGTGTGACTGAGGCGATGAGAGGGGAGTGGGCACAATGATACACGGGGGTGAGGAGAGGGGGGGTGGTGGGGGGGTGGGGTGGGGGGGCCAGTGACTGAGGGTGGGGAGGTGGGCACTGTGCCGGGAGAGAGGAGAGAGAGGGCTAGTGCAGTGTCTGGCAGGTGGGTATAGTGAGTGCAGAGACCAGCTGAGGTGGGTAAGGCACAATGGCTTCAGTGACTGGCAGGAGAGGTGGCATAATGACTTCAATGACCAGCAGGGGAGCTGGGCATCAATGACTGGAGAGCCTGGCAAGGAGATGGCTTCAATTGCTGTTGGTGGGTATAAGCAACAAAGAAAGGCTGGAGGAGAAAAGCTCTCCCCCCCCCCCCCCCCCCCCCCCCACCCACCACGTACAAATAAACAGAGAAGGAAATCGATAGCGAGAACACAGTGAGAGAAAAAGGGGAATCACAGGAGGTGGGAGAGGATGTGAAACGTAAAGGATAAGGGAAAACAAACCAAGAAAGGGAAAGCAAACAACAGCAGAAGGTAAAAGTTATGGGCACATGAGTACATAAATTACAAGAAAGAGAAACTTGGATGAAACGACACCGTTGGGGGGTGGAAAACGAGAACAATATCAAGGAAGGAGAAAAACAACAGCAAAGGGAAAACAGGTGATGAAGGTAAAATCAAGATAGAAAATGAACTTGTTAGGGAATAGCGACTGAGCAAAAGGGTGTGAAACGCACAGATAAGAAAACGAGTGAATTCAATTAGACGAGACCACAGAGAAGTAACTGGTGAATAATGTAACTGGATCTGAAACGCATGTGAACGTGTGTGTCGCTTTGTACCATGTAAAAGGATCTGCACACCTCAAAGAGATCAGACATCTGAGGGATATCAAGCCTCTGGCTGGAAACGAAGGAGTTGAACCTATCAAACTGATACCACCGAATTGAATTGCACCTTAAAACACGGTGTAGGGATGTGTGTGTACTGCATCTAATCAATAAACGTGGGATCAATTCCCACGCAGAGATGGTGACTCCGCTGTACCGGATTGAAAATTGTTTGGAGAAATAGAAATTGCAACTGTTGACTGTAAGATTGTCCGTACAAGGCAATGACTAAGAGGAGAGAAGTCAGGTCATTATTCAACATTCATAGTTGGTAAATATATATATTACACTCATTTGGAGAATGGTGTGGCACTGACAGCCTTGTGTTACTGTTAACAGATACCGAGGGGAATTTTCATAAGCAATTGCAACATTTAGTTTTCCCTTTAGCCCGGTCTTGGTTTCGTTTAAGGTCTTATTCCTGGTGTGCAAAATCACCAGTTGTCTTTGCAATGTTGCCTCTACAATATTTAGTCCCCAACTATCAGTGCCGCACCTCTTCTGCAGAACAGGTTCAAACTTATTGTAAGCATTTGCATTTACATGGACCGTGTTTGGCTACTGATCCCTTTGCACAAAAAAAANGCCTGATGCAGGTTTGACAAGCCATGTTGTTTTCCAAATAAACCAGAACACACTCTCGATCCCAAGTGCCACCAAATTAACACGACTTGTCCGGAAAAAGGTAAATTGGAATTGAACTTCGCTACGCTTTTGCCAGAGTTTCAGTCTGAGGCCATGTGTCCTTTCTTTTAGAGGCTTAACTAAGTAAATGGAGTGTGTAATTGGAGGAATAGTGCGTCACACATCCTCCCAGAATAGAAACAAGAATAAATATGGCAATGGTTCTGTAGCGCTGAGGATTGAGAGGGGGATTGCGTTAGTGAATATGCAGAGATTCGGGATGGCAACGACGTTAATGTGACGTTCAAACAGCCGCACACAAACACACACCTATATATCTGTCAAACAGCTGGAAAGATAACTCACACCACAGGACGAGGAAGGTACAAAAAGCACCTGCAAAATCTACTGGTGTGTCAACACTTGCAAAAGAGGTTCCTTTCAATGCCAAGTATCTCCGGACCGAACAAAACGCACCCTATAAACGCATATAAGTGGAGAGTTTATGCTTTTGGCGTGTGCAGCTTCAGATATCTGTATCCTCCACTGAAATAACACGTGGAACAACGGGTATGAGTGGAGACACAGCGTTAATCAGTGGAGTACAACAAAAGTTGTATGAAGTATAAGAATAACTCTAGCGATCAATAACCTAACCTGAACCCTAATATAAGATGACAGATTTGACAAGTTTGACAGTGATTTCCTCTCCTCTCCCTAATTGCACAGTCGTTTTTTTGTATGTTTTTTTTTGTCAGCTTTGGGCCCCTTCTAACAATAGCAGTTCTCAATGAAGTAGTGACAGCCAATTCAATTCATCTTATTGATGCACGCTGATCTTCACACTTACAAAGTTAATATTCCTAATATAAACACTGCATATTTCTCCAGAAATTCTTTGCAGTCATGATCGGAATGTATTATGTAATGAGATCTAAAATGGTAATTGGTTAAATAGCCCACGGGCTGGTCAGGTTCGAATGCTACAATGTAATTAGTTCTGTAATTAACCACCAATGTATGGCATTGCAGGTCATTCTGTAATCCCTTTCAATGGTTAAATGAAATGGAGTCCTGTAGCTCAGTGATTAACAACAACAACTTGGGTTTATGTAGCTCTCTCCACGCCGGACGGCGTCTCAGAGCGTTTTACAGTAACGGGTCCCGGGGCCGAGTCAGGGGGAGGGGGGGGGAAGGTGACCAAAGGCGCGGTCGAAAAGAAAAGTCTTCAGCATAGACCTGAAAATGGGAAGGGAGGGAGCGAGACGAAGGGAGTGAGGAAGGCAGTTCCAGAACCTCGGGGCATAGTGGCTGAAAGCACGGCCGCCGAGGGTGGAGCAGAGGACTCGGGGGACAAGGAGGAGGTCAGACCCGGAGGAACGAAGGCAACGGGTATTGTTTTGAGGAGAGAGGAGGTCAGAGAGGTAGGGGGGTGCAGAGGAGTGCAGGGACTTGAATTCAAGGGTGAGGATCTTGAAGTCGATCCTCTCTGGGACAGGCAGCCAGTGCAGTCTGGCAAGGACTGGAGTAATCGGTGAGTGGAGTTTCGTGCAGGTGAGAATGCGGGCGGCAGAGTTCTGAATGAGTTGGATTTTATGGATGGTAGTGGATGGGAGACCGACCGGCGAGGAGGGCATTGGAGTAGTCCAGCCGAGAGGCAACAAAGGCATGGACCAGGGTTTTAGTGGCTTTTGGGGAGAGGTATTGGCGGAGACGGGCGATGCGACGGAGGTGGAAAAAGGCGGTGCTGGTAAGGGACCGGATGTGGGGGAGGAAGGATAATTGGGGGGGCGATTAGAGCGATTAGAGCACTCGCCTTGCAAATGAGAGACCTGGATTCAATTCCCGGCAGGGCGAAATGTTGGGCAAATTTCCTTACTACACACATCTCTGTTTACCTAGTAGTAAATAGGAACCCGGTTGTTAATCAATTGGCGGATCGCTTTTCTGGGGATAATAATATTTAAAAAAAATAATAATTTGGTCACTCCATCCACGACTGTTTGTGGGACACTGCTGTGCGCAATTATCCCTGAAAACATGAGATGGACATCTTTGGTCACCCATCTATTCCTACACCCAACCCCCGCCCTCCACCCTTCCTGATGCCAACCCCCTGCTTGGGTCCAATTCCCTGACTGCCCAGTGCATTGGGATATCTCCCCCAGTCATTAGTACCAATCAGTAATGAAGGGAATTAAACATCAA